TAAAACATAAATTAAATAATTTCTTAGAAAAAATCAAATATTTTATGTCTTTCCAATCTCATCAACTGTTAAAACTTGAATGATTGTGTGGCGGGTCTGCCAAAGCAGCGGTCCACAATTATTTGAGAGTGCGATAGATGGTAACAGTTACCATATGATTTGAGAATGATTTACTTGACTAGGCTATCAAAACGGTTTTGGGCTTAGAGACATAGGGTTGGATGAGACATAAGATGTCATCCATGACCAAGAATTATATTGGATATAATTAGCAAGGGCGTTGCTTACCTAAATAGCTAGATTCGGGGGTTGAGCCAAAATTCACTTGAATTCTAGTGAAATATGGATCTTGGATACTATATTCATATTTAGGAAATTTTGTCTTGAGTATAGTGTGAGTTTTCTTAATTGTTGAGGATACTCAAAATTCAAGAACATCATATTAACTTATGCTTTTCTTTCATGACAGTTATGTCAAACCCTCAAAGTTCCTATTCATCGCGATTTGTTCTTGAGAAGGACAAATCAAACCTCCTTAATCACTTGGAAGATCTAGAAGANAAGAAAANATTTGAGGTTTCTTCTCGGGGTATTTATGTTATAGAAGTAAATGTTACTACTTCTGGTTCTACTCCTTGGGTATTGGATACCGGCTGTGGAGCTCACATTTGTGTTAATGTGCANGGTCTGAAAAATAGTAGAACATTGGAGGAAGGGCAAGTGGACCTACGTGTCGCTAATAGAGCAAAAGTTGCTGCATTAGCTGTGGGAACATATCCATTATCTTTACCTTCAGGCATGGTTTTAGAACTAAAAAATTGCTACTATGTCCCTGCTATAAACAAGAATATCATCTCCATTCCGTGTTTAGACATTGAAGGGTTTGAATTTTCGATGAAGAACAAGTGTTGTTCATTTGATCGTGATGATATGTTTTATGGTAGCGCTCATTAGAGAACGGACTTTATGTTCTAGACCAATGTGTGCCTGTCTATGACATTCGTACCAAGAGATTTAAGTCTAAAGACTTNAAGTCTAATGACTCAAATCAAACTTTTCTCTGGCATTGTCGTTTGGGCCATATAAACGAGAAGCGCATTCAGAAGCTTCATAAAGATGGACTTTTGAGCTCATTTGATTTTGAATCATATGAGACATGTGAATCTTGTTTCTTTGGAAAAATGACTAAAGCTCCATTTACTAGACACAGTGAAAGGGTTAGCAACTTG